TACACATATGGATACACAAATGTACATATACACATATACTTATTTTGTAGTGTCATCTTGCATTTTCACGATAAATTCTTTTGCTTGTTTAATAAACATATTTCTATTTACTTGTTTGATATATTTTTTAATTTCACTAGGTAGGGAGTTCCAGGAACGAATTGAATGATTTTTTATTGATTTGATACCATACTTATGTCTGCTTTGATGAGATCGTTAAGTTTTTGCAAGATACTAGTTTAAGATTGTGGTTGCGAATATTACCAATAAACTTGAAATAATAATTGAAGCCCATTGGTATATTTTTGTGTTCATCAAGTAGATCATTTAATCTAATTTTATTATTTTTGATATACCCAAGTCAAAGCGATTTTTTTGAAAGTGGATTAATCTTATAGACTTATTTTGTAGATTTAAAAGGTTATTTTTGTTTACAGAATAATTATGTCTCCATATCTGGCATCCATAGTTAAGGTGTGACCCAAAGATAGCATACCAGATATTTATTAAAGTTTCATAGTCTAAATAGTGTCTTACCTTTGCTAGCATCCCATTTGCACAACTCAGTTTGATAGAAATCAACTTTAATTAATGATTAAACAATAGGTTTTCATCTAGTATTATACCAAGGTACTTGATTTTATCAAGAATATATAGTTTTTATCCACTTATTCTGAAATTCAACTTTTTTTCAATTTTTTTATCTCTAGATTTAAAGAGAACAATTTTGGTCTTTTTTGTATTTAGGGAGATTTTGTTTGCACGTAGGCACTGAACTAAACATGGTAGGTCATAGTTTAGATATTTAATTTTTTCAATGATTTTTCAACTATAAATAGCTTGGTATCATCAACTTGAAGTTGACGATACCAACCTATTAATAGTTGAAAAATCATTGAAAAAATTAAATATCTAAACTATGACCTACCATGTTTAGTTCAGTGCCTATGTGCAAACAAAATCTCCCTAAATACAAAAAAGACCAAAATTGTTTTCTTTAAATCTAGAGATAAAAAAATTGAAAAAAAGTTGAATTTCAGACTTTCTACATCAATTAAATTTCAGAATTTCTACATCAATCAAATATCTTATAGGCTGCAATATGATAATCATATTGCAGCCTATAAGATATTTGATTGATGTAGAAATCCAAATAATCTAATATACAAGAATTTTTCAGGTAGTTTGCCGATGTTAGATAGTAGTGATATAGGTCTATAATTACAGCAGTCCTGTCTGGAACCATTTTAAAAGATTGGTATTACCTTAGCAACTTTAAATGGGTCAGGGTAGATTCCAGATTTGAATGATTCATTTATTATGACGCTTAGAGGATAACTGAGTCTTGAGATGCAAGTTTAAGTATTTTTGAGGGAATGCTGTTTGGCCCGATACCTTTTTTTGAATTCATGGCAGATATATAGTCTTTTATTTCTTGAGGAGTAACTGGGGTCATGGTCCTAATAAAATGAGGTAAGATTGCAGTTTTTAAGATAATAGCTAAAATAATTTTCGATGCAAGGTTTTCTGCTATTGTAGAAAACATGCTTTCTGAAAATATATTTTCTGTTATTTATGAAAATATGTTTTCTGCTGTTATGCTATGCTACTATTGTGCTATTCCGCTGAAAATATGTCTTCTGCGATTGTAGAAAAAACTTTATCTAAGTCTTGTTTTATACATAAAGGTATGTATCTAATAATTTAAAATTATTTAAAAATTACAAATTACAAAGAGATTTAAATAAACATGGGCAAAAAGTTATGAGTAGAAATTATCGAGTAGATAATTCTACAATCACTTAAAAAGCAAATTATGGACTTCATCAGAAAACTGCGACTTGGAATTTCCCGTTCCGATTATAGGCCGGCGTCTGTTGCAGAAAAAACTTTAAAAAAAAAGACACATTAGTAACTAAATTTCGAAAAAGTTTTCTTGAAGATCTAAACAAAATAATATTCCCAGATTTTCATGGTCCCAATAATTGGATAATTGAGGTCAAAGTTTTGCTTTATATAGAAACCACCCTATACTTTTAATCAGGGTGGTTTCTATTTAAAAAATAAAAATGACTTTCTTTTTTTTCTTAATTATGCCCAAATAAATAATAATTTTGATTTCAAATTTAGTTTGTATATTCTTTAGTTAACTACCAAAAGAACCTTAAAATTTAAATGCTTTTTGATGTAGGTAACCTAGGTTCTAGACCTTTTTATTTTTGATCTGTTTTCTTATGAGACTCACCCAAGGCCGGCGCAATAGGGGTGCGGAGGGAGGGGGGGTGTCACACCCCCCTTTAATGATTTTTAGTCGGCAAATTGGACCCTTTTAGACTAGGTAGTCGGCAAATGTTGACCCTTTCGATATAGGTTAGTCGGTAATCTAGATAATCGGCAAATGTCGTGATGGCAGTCGGCAAATCTGTGGAAAACGAAGCCCTTATTTTTTTTTTTTTTTAATTTTAGTCAGCAAAAGTTGTAATGGCACTCCCCCCCCCCC